GTGACAGAAGTCAGATACAGATATGTCTATGTGTCCATTCCTGTGAAATCCTGGCAGATTAGGGTTGCCTGGGTTATGGATGGGGAAGGGGATTCACTGCAAAGAGGTCAGAGGGAACTCTTAGAGCAAAAACGTCATTATTTTAAGCAAATTTATCAAATAATCAGCTAAAGGAAGAGAAAAGGGACTATCTCTCCAGAGGGGAGAATGGGAAAAAGGGGGGACAAAGGGGCCACTTGTTTTTTATATTCAACACTGTTGTTCCATGAAATACATGTATTACTGTGATAAAACTTAATTATTAAAAATAAGAAGAAGAGAATAGGGGCGCCTGGGTGGCTCAGTGGGTTAAAGCCTCTGCCTTCGGCTCAGGTCATGATCTCAGGGTCCTGGGATCGAGCCCCAAGTTGGGCTCTCTGCTGAGTGGGGAGCCTGCCTCCCTTCCTCTCTCTCTGCCTGCCTCTCTGCCTACTTGTGATCTCTGTCTGTTAAATAAATAAATAAATAAAATCTTAAAAAAACAAAACAAAACAAAAGAATAGAATAAAATCCAAGAAAGTCAAAGGTAAGAAATAAAGGGCAAAAAAAATCAATGAACTAGATCAAGATAAAATAGAAAGGATCAGCAGAGTCAAACATTCATTAAAAAGTCTATTAAAGGGGCGCCTCGGTAGCTCAGTCCGTTAAGTGTCTGACTTGATCTCAGCTTGGGTCTTGATCTCAGGGTTGTGAATTTGAGCCCCATGTTGGGCTACTCGAAAAACAAAGAAAAGTCTATTAAGAAGCAACCTCTGACAAGATATTATGGGGAAAAAAAAGACAAAAGTTAAGTACTATTAGAAAATCATGCTTCCATTCAATGGTTATATCTGAGGATATAAGAACAAGCAAGACCAAGTCCTTCCCTTGTGGATCTAAGGGTAGAAAGGATCATTTCAACACAACACAAAAAGCATGAAGATAAAGATCATTAAGGCAAAAGACTGATATATTTTACTTCATTAAGAATTTCTGTTAGTGAGAAAGACAATTATCATATGATCTCCCTGATATGAGGTATTTGAGAGGCAATGTGGGGGGTTTTCGGGGTAGGGAAGGAAAAAATGAAACAAGATAGGATGGAGAGGGAGACAAACCATAAGAGACTGTTAATCTCAAAACAAACTGAGGGTTGGGGGGGTGGGGAGGGAGAGGGTGGCTGGGTTACAGACATTGGGGAAGGTATGTGCTATGGTGAGTGCTGTGAAGTGTGTAAACCTGGCGATTCACAGACCTGTACCCCTGGGGCTAATAATACATTATATGTTAATAAAAAATAAAAAAAAAATGTGGGCGCCTGGGTGGCTCAGTGGGTTAAGGCCTCTGCCTTCAGCTCAGGTCATGATCTCAGGGTCCTGGAATCGAGCCCCACATCGGGCTCTCTGCTCAGCAGGGAGCCTGCTTCCCCCTCTCTCTCTCTGCCTGCCTCTCTGCCTACTTGTGATCTCTGTCAAATAAATAAAAAATCTTAAAAAAAAATTAAAAATTTAAAAAAAAAGAATTTCTGTTAGTAAAGAAGAGAAACTATAGGGTGACACATATTAACTGATAAAATACTGGGTTCCTGTTATATACACACACACACACACATATATATATATATATATACACACACATTTATATATTACTGTATGAAATCCTGGATTCCTGAAGACATACAACTTTTTACAAATGAGTAAGAAAAAGATAAACTATAATAGAAAAATGAGCAAAGAATAGAAACATGTAAGTCACAGAACACAAATCAGCAACATACAAAAAGATGTCCAATTTCACTAGGAAACAAGGAAATGTAATTTAAAACCACAGGGAGATACCATTTCACAGGAGTGGGACTGGGAAAAAAAGTCTAACAGTTCCCAATTTTGGCAAGAGTATCAAGTAACAAGAACTTGTGTCAACTATCAGTATAATATGGAACAACTAATTTAATTAATCAGTAATCTGGGAAAATCTAGCAGAGTTGACGAATCATATACCCTTAAACCCAGTGTCTCCACACCTATGAATACATTTAAAGACTCCCGAAGAATGCCCATGCATATGAGGAAATGCATATAAAGAATATTCAGTCAGCATTATTCTACATAGCAACGTCCAGAAACGACCTACAGGTCTACCAGCCACAGAATGGAGAAACTGAGGTATCGCCGCTGAGGGAGTATCGAAGGGCAGAGCTACACATCTTGGCAAGGGTTGAAAAGTACAGCCTGTGGAAAGATATCTGCTGTACAATACATGGATCAAACGTTAAAGCACGCAAAGCTGATCGTGACTGCTCAGAGCCAGAGATAAATGTGGAAAGACCATGACGAGGAGCACGGGGCTGCTGGTGATAAGCTAGCGGCTCTGGCGGGCGTTGAGAGGTGGAAGGGGCAGTGATGTGGGGCACATCAGACTCCATGGGTGCCCCTCCGTTTTGTTACTTCGGCTGGACAGTGGGGGTAAGGGTGCTGTTTCCTTACTCTTCAGACTATCAAAAAATACCACAGATTCGCGTTTGTATACAGAATGTACAGCCATTAAAATGTGTTCATTTTAAAATAAATCAAGGAAATGACCACAAACGTCGAAGTAAAATTACAGCCTGTAAGAGATGTAAATAAGAGCTAGATCTCTGAAAAAAAATTCCCAACCAATTTAAGAGGGAAAAGGGGACAAAAAAGCAGATAAAGTTGGAAATGGGGAAGAATACACAATATAAAGTGTTAAATATTTACATGAATGCTTTGCCCAGTTGTGAACGAATACACTTCATGGCTCAAAAAAAAAAAAACCAAAACCAAACAAACAAAAAACAACAAAAAACCCCCACCAACAGTTTAAAGCTAATTGGTAAAAGGTATAACCAATAACAGAAACAGAAAGTAACAGAAAGAAACAGTAACAGAAAGAAACCTCAAAGGATTAATAAATACGGAAGAACTATGAAAAGTTATTAGCACATGACCCAAATTAAGGGACCAGGTGGTTATCTGTAGGTTCACTGAGTAAACAATTTCTAGGTGACTGAAGCTCTTCTGGAGGAGGGGAGAGCATGAGTTTGAGGGTCAGATGGGTTTCAACGCTGGCTTCACCCCTATCCTGACTTGCCAGGGAACAGCAACGTTAAATCTGTCCAAATGAGTTAACCATGCTGAGGCCTGGTTTTCTGTAAGCGGGGTTGATGCGACTTGCCTCACATGTTGTAAGGACTGACTGGGGTAATTTGCATAAATACCCTTGGAAAACACCCAGCATGGTAGTAGTTCCCGGGTGCTCAAATGCCAACTCTCTTCTCCCTCTGCTAGTGCATGGCCCTGAGAAGAGAAAATCTATCAGAAGGACTTCTCCCTACAACTGAAAATAAGTGTCTGTTCTAAATCAGGAGTCACTGGTGCAACAATGGAGAAATTCTAGATGGCTTTTTGAAGTCCTCATCAGTCATCATGAAGTGAAACAGAAATAAGAAAAAAAAAACAAACTAAAAATGATCTAATGAATGCTTTAAGAATACTGACAGAGAGTGACAACAGGGCAATAGATATTGGAAATGACTACCATTTCTCTACAGCAGCAATTTCTGGCTAAGAAAACAGAAGATGGTTTTATTCAAAAAGTAAAAATAAATCTTCGATAGATAATGAGAGGAACAGCCATAAAAATTTATTGGGAAATATAAAGTAAGACTTCTTCCCATGCCTGATCAGTGCTAACCACTGGTCATCGTTCCAGAATCAGCTCAAAGTTTTGGGGTGACCAGGCAACTCAGGAAGACGAGGTGCTGGACTCTGAGAGTCGGGAAAGGCACGGGGAAGGCCTGCACCATGACCACCTGGTTTTTCAGGTCATTACCCACACGTGACTGTCAAATTGTTTCTAGGCATAAAACTCCTTCATCTTCATATTCCCCCCACCCAAGTACAGGAAAGAACTCGTGGTAATGAGGAGTAATGGAAGAATAGATGAGGTTATGCTCAAGTGGCAGGACAGCAGATAAGGTTCTTTTGCTTAATTCCCCCACGCCCCCCTTCTTTTGTCAGAACCCTGCTTGTATAGTACGGAATGAAATACTAAAAATGCCTTAGCTTGGGTATCACAGAACACACAAATTCAGAATGCTACTGGGGTAAGTTAGAAGAGATTTCTTTGGAAAAGTGAATTTTAGAGTTAAGACATTTAAATTCCAGAACAGATTGGGTCCTAGACATTCCACATATAAATCCCCGCCTATTTTGCTGGGTGAAAAATCAGTACCGAAAGGTTTTAAAAAATACTTCATAGCCTGCAAAACACCAGCTCAAACAGAAATGTCGTAATATCTTGGATAAGGCAATACGCTCTCTTAGAAAATTCAGGACCAAAGGGAGGGGCACCCACCGGGCTCCTCGAGACAAGTAACAATCACTAAACTGTCTAGTTCTCTATATGCTCGGGCTACAAGTCTATGCCACCTACCAGGTGCCAAAAGAGGGACCTGGCCAAGTGTAATCCTGGCCACACTCTCATGACGCTTCCTGCACGGTGAGGTGCTGACAACAGGCAGAGAGTAATTAAATGCTGGCTGAATTGGTGCACACACAGATGAACAAATACGAAGGTGGCTCAAGAAGCCTGCAGGGTTTAGCTGGCACGGCTGCTCAGAAGGCACATGGTTAGCCGGCCCATCTCACCCTGCCGTGTGTGCAACCTGGCGTGGTTCCTCATCACTGAGAACCGCCAGCAGAGACCGCACTGTGAGATGCTAAACAAGGCATGGGGCAGGGGGAGCGGCCCAGGTTACACTGGAGGCCTCTTCCAAACTGAAAACTATTAATCAATACCAAATAGGGAGAAAATTCATGGATAGGAGGGTCCCCATTCACACAGGGACCAGTGTGGCAACCAGATGCTGTGGTGAATGAGAAGGGAAAAGACAGTGTTCCTCAGTCTGGAGCATTTGTGGAGGCCCTCCTGGTGCCTCCCACACGCAGGGCTCTTACCAAGACAGAAGCTTCCCGACGCGTCCTCTAGCATCCATTCTTCTCCTTTTCCCAGTTGGGAAAACACATCTGACTGGGGTCCTAAGAGTCCTGTTTTTGTGGGGAAAAATGGACCACATCTTATTCATACCAGTGATAAAATCATTGCAAGGAAGAGACCTGGTCCTCGGGACTTCCTGGAAAAGATGACCTGATAGGAAGGCCAGGGGACAGGTGAGTTCTTCAGAAGGAAGAACAGAAGCCTGGGGCCTGACACAGACCAGCTATCCCATGTCCTTCTCCCTGCTGACACAGAGAGAGGATTCAACCTTGTCGCCTTTGAAGCATCTGCACTTAGACTCCAAAGGGGTTGCATCCCCAGGACACCAGGGGTAGGCATGCAGCAGCCCTGAACAGAGCATCCTCGATCAGCCCACTCCCAGCCCAGTCTTCTGTGTGGAACCAGTTTGAGAGTTTCTAAGGGTCCCTAAGGGATCCCCACGTGTGAAGCTCAGCCCTCGGAGGCCCCCGCTTACCCAGTGAGACCAGGTTGCTGTAGTTCTCCAGCATCACATCCCTGTAAAGGGACCTCTGAGTAGGGCTCAGCTGTGCCCACTCGTCCCGGGTGAAGAGCACGACCACGTCCTTGAAGGTCACTGATTCCTGCAACAGCAAACCCCATCCCTGGTGACCGGCGGTGACCCCCTCCCGTGGCTCTCTGGGAAGAGCTGAGCCTGGCAGGCCCAGGAGCCCATTGATAGGTGCACGACTGTTAGTACAGAGCGGGCTGGTGTTCTATGACAATGTAAGCATTTCCTCAGGGTGTCCCGGGGCTGAGCTTTTATCAGACTTTGCTTCTTGCCTCGAAGAAACACGTTGTGTGGAGAAGATAGGCTTCCTCAGCACTGAGACTTCATTCTTGCTGTTCATTTCGCCCCGAATGTTTTCTCCCATTTCCCTCAATCTGCCCTCCTCCACCCCATGACCAAATCTTACCCAGACCTCAGCCTCCACAATTCCTCCTGGGCACAGCCGTCCTCAACTCCCTTCTCAAGTGAGCAGGCCCAGCAAAGCACCATCCCACTTTACTGTGGGTTCTTGTTTACCTTCAGATCCCCCCCCCACTGGACTGTTAACTCCAAGAAGCTAGGGACTATGTCCCCATCTCTCTTGTCTTCCCAGCATGTCTTGGAGAACATGGTCCAGCACCTATTACTTGTTGCTGAGCAACTCCTTCCTGCTTGTCTTCCGCTGCTCACCTACTCACCTCCAACACACGAACACAGTTCCCACAGGAACAGTCATTCTGGACAATATGACCTTGTCCCCTCTGATCACAACTAGTGCCTTGCTTAAGAAACTCTTGGCTGAGAAGCCAAGAGAGGTGGTGTGCCCTGAGAAGGACTTAAGGAGAAGCCCAGAGAAGAATGTCAATCTATCTATCTATTTCTATATACATACAGGAGGAATGAGGGCAGGCCTCCAACTGAGACTGGATTAAGAGAAAAGCTCTTGGTTAGGGTAAAAAAACCAAGCCCACCCTCTCCAAACCTCTACATTAAAAACTTTTAAGTCAATTTTGGGGGGCGGGGACCCTGCAGCAACTCCCCACTCACCTGGACCATGGGTGGCAGGTGCCTGACGGCCATTCCTTCTCTGATAAGCCGTTTCAGAGACTGGCAGAGTGGGACCAAGGCTAGAAACTTCTACACACCTGTTATGAGGAGAACTGGGTTAAAAGAGATCAGAGGACAGTCCAGACTGAGGCTGTGAGCATTCCCATTCTAGGAGTCCTCCAGTACCCCGAAGCAGTAGATTCTTGGTTCCTAATTGTTCCCAATTCGCTCTCCTCTTTCTGAGGATAGTTCTGACGGCCTCCACTGTCAAGGGGATCCTTCCCCATGCGGCCATTCCCAGCCCCACACTCTCTCCCAGCATCTGAGTCAAATCCTCCACATCTTCCCGTAACTTAAATACGGTGGGTTTTCCTTGCAGAAAGCACCCTTCAGCCCCAGATCTCAGGATTTCTACCCACCCCCTGTCCTTTACCCTGAAGTTTCCTTGACAGGTCTCAAGAGAAGTTCCCCCCCCTCCCTGCCTGGAAGGGGAGCGGAGGAAGTGGGGAAGGATGATCTTCCTTCTCCTCCAAAGGCAAGCTACGGGGGCTGGATCGTCACTGCCAAGGCCTCTCAGGCCAAGCCCTTCTCTGACCTCAGGCCTCTTCCCTTCCGCCCAGTCTGGATGACAAAGAGCCAGAGTGGGCGAGAGGCAGTGCATTTGTGTGTCTGGGCGGCGGGGAGTCTCATTCACACAATCGGCCCTCCGGCCCCCTGCCGGGTCCTCGCGGAAGCTGCTGCCGCGACTGTGGCTGCGGCTGCCCCGGCCTCCGCGAGGTCCGCAGACAGGGCTCCGTCACAGACCCGAGCATCCACCTCTGGAGGCGTCCCCCGGCTCCCCGCAGTCGGCTCCTCCGAGACACACGCAGAGGCCTGGACCGCATCCTCCTCCACATGCGCTCGCACATTCGGACCCTAAAACCAACAGCCTGCACCTGGCCGTCCTCCCCTTTCCTCTGTGGAATCAAACCTCAGTCATATGTCCCGAGAAGTTTGGGGCAACGGATCGGTGTCCTCCGGCACGGACTACTACCCGCACCGAGTCGCCGTTCTTTCCCGCAGCCCTGGCCCCCGGGGCCCGACTACCCCACGGCCGATCCCGCTCTCCCTACGCGGCTCTGCTCGCCGTACCTGGTCACCACAGGATTGCCCTTGGAGGAGCCTCTGCCCGCGGCGAGAAACCGCAACCGCCACATCGCAGGCTGAACACAATGAGCTGGAGTCGGCAGCCCCGGTCGGAACTGCGCTTGCGCGTTGCCCGGGGAGCCGCTGAGCCGAGTACCCGGGAGTCCGAGGGCAGCAACACTTCGGCTTCCCAGACTCCACTTCCCAGAGGGCGAAGCGGCGGCCAGGGCCAGCCCCTGCGTGGGGCGGAGAAAGTCATACCGCGCGCCTGCGCAGACAGAGCCCGGCCCTTCAAGGCGACGCCCGGCAGCTTTGCGCGCTGAAACTACATTTCCCAGAGGCCACGGCAGGCTCTTTGGCGTTCCTCTTAGGGCAGCTAATTCTCCCGGCGTTAGGCAGCACGTGCGGGCTTTCGTTCCGTCCAAGTCAGGCTCCGAGCCCTCCTCAGTCCTGAAGTAACGCCCGGGAAAGGCAGTGACCAGCGAGAAATTGACGCGGGATAAAGTCGGTCCGTCACCGCGGGGAGCGGATCGGGGGTGGTCCGGGAGGACGGAGTAAGAGGTGAGAAGCCGCAAAAGGCGCCTTCCTGAAAGAGGACCGCGCGGGGACGACTTGAGAGGGCGGAGGACGCAAACCATTGTAGCGGTGTGGCCCGGGGGACCGGCGGGGGCGCGAGGCCGGGGTGCGGGGCCGGCGGCGGGGACCAGGGTGGCAGCCTCGGGACCCGAGAGGAGCGCCGAGGAGGTCGAGCGGACCTGCGGTTCGGCGGCTCGCCGAGGCAGGAGGGAGCCCGGAGGCCGTGGTGGGATTCCTTTCTGCGGGGACGGGCAGGGACGGGGTGACCTGTGGAGAATCCCACGCGGGGTGTTTAGTTGCCTTTGAACACATGTTTTCGCGAAGTTCGGGGAGGAAGGGGAGGTTTTAACTTTGTTGGCGGTGAACTTAGTAAAAAATGTGAGCAGAGGTTTGTCGGGACTGTCGGCTTAGGAAGCGGTGTCAGTGACTTAGGTCCCACGACGGCGTTCTGTTTGGGGTTTTATGGGAGATTTCATCCTCTCGACAACTTTGGGAGCACGTGTGTGTCAGGCACTGTTCTGGGGGCTGGGGAGAGAGCCGTGGAACCTGCGCTTAGTGTCTGTCCGGAAACCTGTGAACGGGGGCGTGGGGGGTGGGGTGGGGATGATAAGTCGAGTTTGGGGAAATCCTCTTTGAGGGGAGCACATGAGCAGAGACTGGACTCCGGTGAGGTAGGAAACCGTGTGAATACGTGGGGAAGAGCTGTCTAAGGGGACGGGACGGCGAGGTCCCGAGACTGACGTGTGTGCTTGGTGAGCCGGAGGCTATGCGAGGCTGGAGGGACTGGAGAGGGCCCGGTGGGCAAGGGAGCGTTGCACGGTAGGTTCCAAGCGGTCCCGGGCCTTGCAAGCCATCGGAAGACCTTTGGATTTGTTCCGTGTGTGATGGGCAACCAGCGAAGGAGTCTGCGCGAGTGACGCGGTGAGCACATTTGGACAGAATCGCTGGTCAGCTGCAAGGGGAGGAGAGACTCCGGAGGCGCCCGGGCAATACAGGGAAGCCGGGTAGGAGGCTGTTATAACAGTCCCAGGGGCGGACAGCCTCCCATAGACATACCGCCTTTGTGTGTGCACCGCATTTGTTTTGAGGGTCTAGTGATTCCAAGATAATTTTCCGGATGCCATGCTAAGGAGTCTGGGTATTACTTTGTTTTCAAGTATATGAGAATGATAATATGTGTTTATGGAGCACTGTGTGTTGGGCACTTTTATGAGTACTTTACATGGGTATCTTCTGTAATCCCAAGCTGTGCAGTTTGCACTACTAACAATAAGTGAAGCACGCAGATGTTCAGTTTGTTGCTCGAGGTCTCATGTCTAGTAACTCGAACCCGGTGTCTTGGCCCTGGGATAGAGAAGAGGTGCAGACTATCCTCCTTACTTGTTGACCAGAATGACTGAGAACTGACATACAGGGACCTAAGGCATCCAAAAACTCCTGAAAAAATAGTGCAATCTCTGTATAGCTGACTTGTTTCTCCAGCTGCTTCTTGTATAGCTTAATGTTTCACCAAGTTTTGAGTTATTGCATTATCTTAGGCTTCAGTAGGTTTCATATTTCCTCTTCTCCTTGTCCTGTGCCTTCCTTCTGACCCTTTATTTTGCTGTTGTCTTTTTCATTTTCATCTACTTTCTATCCATCTCTTATCTCTGCTCCTCTAGAAAAAAATTTGTGAAGGCAGAGGAGGAAACTAGGTGTAAGGGACAAGTATTAAAGATCTAAGTTTCCGAGGATAAGGTTGTTTCATTCCCTCTGTCTTTGTTCCAGCCCCCAAGATTTAGAGCTTAGAGGTCACATAGCCCAAAGACACTGACCTGCCCAGGGACCCAGTTCTATAGGGAGCCTCTTCAATTGCCACCCACAAACGAGTTCTGTACCCATCACTTCTTGATTCCCACCTCTCCTGGTGAAAAATTTCCTTCCTTCAAAAAAGGTTCCTATAGCTTCTGCCTCTGCCCCAGTCCTGTTTTCCCACTTTGAGCTGCCTGTCCCCTCCATGCTGTACCTTCCACTCTCCCACATCTTTCTTTTCAACCGTCAGGTAAACACACTCTCGCCAGAGTATTGGCCACATCAACACCTTGCTCAAACCTCCTTTTCTTTGCCTACCTCCACTTTAGGGGCTGGAAGAGTATTTATTTTCTCAGCCTCCTTTGCTGCTGGCCTCCATGTAACACAGCTATGGTCAGTGAGATACAAGCCAAAGTCCGCTGAGCAATTTCTGGGACAACCTCTTTTAATAAAGGCACAGATATTGCTGGTGCTTCCCACTCTCCTTCTTCCTGCCTTGAATCGGATACTTTACCTGAAGCAGAGCAGCCATCGTGACCATGATGGAAAAGCTATCAAACTAAAGATATTGAATTTTGCTTTGAAACGATACCACCCACCTCCAGATTTGTTAAGAGTGGGGGGAAATCCCTGCTCGCTTGTAAGCCTTGTTAACCGGGCTTTCCAATATTTGTAGCCATAAAGCTCTTTTGATAGATATACCCGCTCTCAATGCCAGTCTCCCTCTAGTTATCTTTCTCAGTGTCTCCTTTCTCAGGCAAGCTAATGAGTCCTTTCACTCATTCTTCAACCTACTAATATTTAGCAAAGGCTTTCAGTAACCAAAACCAAAGGCCATTTTAAATTTTTATCTCACTTTAACCCTCCATGGCATATGAAAGTATTAACTATTCTTACCTTAGGTGAAATTCTTTTACTTTTGTGCTACCATCTTCTAATTTTTCCTTCTGTTTTTCATTTTCCTTTTGGTTGCTGTTTCCTGTCAGCTCCAACTGGCTCCACTTCCTCTACCTCCCCCATTCAATGACAGTACTCTCAGAGTACCCTTCATAATTGTCCTGCCAGTTATTCTAGTGTCTGTCAGGAATCTTCACTAGGATACCCACAGACTCCTTAAAATGCCCCCGGACTGAACTTATCATTTCCCCACAAAATCGGTCAACTTTGTGTGTTCTTAATTATGGTACTCCATCCACCCAAGTAAATTTAAGTTCCTACATTTAATCAATGACCACATTATCTAGATTCTGCCTCATTATTGCTTGAATTCTTCCTTTCCCATCCTTGGCCAGTTTTTAGTTTAGCCCTTAAAAAGCAAAGAATAGGGGCACCCGGCACAGTGGGTTAAGGCACAGTGGGTTAAGCCTGTGCCTTCGGGGATCAAGCCTCACATGGGGGGGGGTGTCTCTGCTCAGTAGGGAGCCTGCTTCCCCCTCTCTCTCTGCCTGCCTCTCTGCCTACTTGTAATCTCTCTTTCTGTCAAATAAATAAATTAAATCTTTTTTAAAAAGCAAAGAATATATCTTACCCATTTTGATCTTCTAATCATGTCTATCACATACTTAGCACTTTTTACGTATGTATGAAATCAATGAAATTTATTTCATTTAAATCTAATGTCATCACTAGAGATCTCTAAAACCTATGATTGTTTTGAGTTGCAAAGATTTTGTTACTATGTCACATTTTCTTGTCTATTAGTGTCTTTTTCTCTTTCTCACTTTGACACAGAGTATGGTACAAAGATATATGTTTGAATCCTATGTACTTAGAGACTATATTTAAGTTATACTGTTTTCTAAATAATTAGCTTGCTTAACAGTAGTTTAAGGACTATTAATTGAGAACTCAAAATAGCATGCTATTGCATTATGATCTGTACAATTGTTTCATCACCCAGTAGCAACCAGCCTATGATTTACGGGAGAAAATAATAGTATGGGAGGAGGGGGAGGAATATGGATGGATAATAATAGGATTTGGTAGAGGTAGAGAATTTTGACCCAAAACATCCAAGGAAACCAGATGGTGGAATAGAAGCATCTAGATAACACATATAACATGGTAAAAGATCAAGGATTTACCAGTGTTGGTTATATTTATAGGTTTATAGCATTTTAGAATTAATAGGGATCATGGAGACCTTCTAAATTCAAAATCTCTCATTTACCAAATAAGGACACTGTGACCTGGTGAAAGTAGGTGACTTGTCCAAGTTAGTGGCAGATCAGGACTATATACCAGGTCTTTGGGCTGTCCAGTTTAGCATTCTCACCTTTTCTCTCCAGTGTGAAGTCTCTGATATCCAAAGATCTACAGTATGACATACAATAGAACTTATATTCATGAATCTTCTTTGTTTAGAACATTAGCTATTTAAAGCTTCCAGTGTAAAGGAATATTTCACATTCTGAATTAAGATTTCTCTATTCTATATGGTTTCTTTGCAGTGGTATTATCTGATATAGTAACTTATACTTCACCTAAAAGATTCCTATAATAATTACATTTATTAGGTTTCTGTGTTACATGATTTATCTGATTATCACTGAAGAGTTAATCCTGGTGAAGGGTTCAATGAAAAAACTCATGTATGAGTCCTCTGATGTCGTGTAAGGTTTGTACTCCGACTGAAGGCTTTTCCGCATTCATTACACTGATAGGGTTTCTCTCCTGTATGAGTTCTCTGATGCACTATAAGGGATGAATTCTTAATGAAGGCTTTTCCACACTGATCACATTCATAGGGTTTCTCACCAGTATGAATTCTTTGATGTTCAATAAGGTATGCACTCTGGCTAAAGGCCTTTCCACATTCATTGCATTCATAAGGTTTCTCTCCAGTATGAATAACCTGATGTACAGTAAGGGAAGATCGCCCAGTGAAATGTTTTCCACATACCATACATTCATAAGGTTTCTCTCCAGTATGAATTCTCCGATGTTGAGTAAGAGATGAATTCTTGCTGAAAGCTTTTCCACACTGATTACATTCGAAAGGTTTTACTCCAGAGTGAAGTCTCTGGTGTTCTATAAGGTATGTACTTTGACTAAAGGATTTCCCACATTTGTTACATTTGTAGGGTTTTTCTCCAGTGTGATTTCGTTGATGTAGGGTAAGGGTTGAGCTTTTACTAAAGGCTTTTCCGCATTCACTACACTCATAGGGTTTTTCTCCAGTATGACTTCTCTGATGTACAATAAGGTGCATGCTCTGACTGAAGGCTTTCCCACATTCATTGCACTCATAGGGTTTTTCTCCTGTGTGAGTTCTCTGATGAACTGTAAGATTCATGCTTTGGGTAAAAGCTTTCCCACATTCATTACATTTGTATGGTTTCTCTCCAGTATGAATCCTTTCATGTTGAATAAGGGATGAATTCTTACGGAAAGCTTTTCCACACTCTTTACACTGATAGGGTTTCTCTCCGGTATGAGTTCTTTGATGAACAGTAAGGTTCATGCTCTGGCTGAAGGTTTTCCCACATTCGTTACATTTGTAGGGTTTCTCTCCAGTATGAATTCTTTGATGTACAGTAAGGGAGGAGCGTTCAATGAAGTGTTTTCCGCATACATTACACTTATAGGGTTTCTCCCCAGTATGAATCCTCTGGTGCTTAAGAAGAGATGAGCTCTGGCTGAAGGTTTTCCTGCATTCATTACATTCATAGATTTTCTTTCCTACAAACATACTTTGAGCTTTAATTAATTCAGAATTCTGTTTAGTGTCTTCGCCACATGAATTCTGATTATGGGGCCTTTGTCCCACAGGAACACTTTGTTGTATATCAAGGATTGACCTCTGACTAGAACAGCTTTCAAATTCATGACCTCCACATGCCCTCCTTTCAGGGAGGGTTTCCTTATGAGTAACGGCCACTTGGTGCAGATGTCTGTCCTGGTTTTTCTCTTTTCCATCTAACCAATTATCAGGTTCCCAGGCTTCCCCTAAAGAAGGCCAGAGACCTCTTTCCATTATTACCCCATAGGGTAAATCTTCAGTAATGAATGGTAGGCTTTGTCATTGATTCTCTGGTTTCAAGTCTTGTTTCCCAGTCTGAAAAAAAAAAAAATTCAAATATACATTGGTTTCTGTGCTGGAAGAGAAAAAACTGTATATGATGGGAATGAGAGAAATAAACTGAGAATAACTGTGGGGCACAAGTGAGAGCTTTCAGAGATGTCTACAGTTAGGAAGAAAAACAGAAGGGAGGGAAAGAACAGTGAACCAGTTCATAAATAACAGAAGAACTAGAGGAGGTAGTAAGCAGAGAAAAGAGTAAGCCTGTGTATGCAGAAGGGATGGACATTGAAATCACTGACCTCCGGACAAGGCTGAATAATGAAGATGGAATGAAGGGGAAATACAGATAAGCTGGGATCGGGGCAGGCAAATCAGAAAGTCCTGGTATTCCCACCAGCAGTTTCTTCTCCCCTGCAATGCTGCCTCTAATTCTGACACTAAATCTTTGTACAACACTGCAGTGTGACACCGTGAAAAACTGTTGGCTCTGGAGTCAGACACACTTGGCTTTAAACCCTGGCTGTTAACTTACCCTCTTAACTAGTTGTTTCTCTGGATTTTAGTTTTCACAAATATAAAATAAAGATAAAAATAATCAGATGAGGATTAAGTGAGATAATGCATATAAACTACCCTTCAGGAGCATACTTGTTTGGAATATAAAATACCACAACCTACTTGAAACTTACAGGACGATGACACAATCTAAAGGGTCCCCTCACCACCAACTTTCAGCAGGCTGTAAGTTTCTCATTCTCTTTAAGTAAGAGGGGCCCACAGGGCCCTACCATTTCCTAAATACCCATTCATTAGAGATGTGAACTGGTGGCAGGAAGAGGCAAAGCAGGATCTGTTGAGCTGCTTGAGATAGGGCCTTGAAGGAGGGACCTTGTGACCACTCAGACTTTATTTTCTCAGATCCTACTTCTTATCCTAGACACAATGGCCAGGAGAAATGAGAGGCAGAAGACAGAAAACTACAGTCTGAGAATCAGCTGTCAGCTTCATCAAAATTACGAGAGCCAAGATCAATACTGAACCAACAAAAAGGCCTGTGGGCAGGAGGCTTTACTATGAAGCATGAGGTATGCATTAACTAGACCACCTCCTTGCAGCCTGGCCTGCTTATGTAAAAAAAGAGAAAAAGTGGAAAGCCATACAGGCTCCACTTCTAAAACACACACACCACTAGGTAACCCCAGAAAGGACCTATCCAATCAAGTGTGGATATCAACAGGCGACACATGAACTGGAGGCTGCCTCCTGCCCCGTCACTATATTACATCCAACTGTCCAACCAAAGCTCTACCCAGTAAGCAACATAAAGGGCCAAAGAGGAGCCATTCACACTGTTAGACAAATACAAACTCCAGACCGAACTGCCCTCATTCAAGATAAGTGATACACGGAAAATGACAAATTTGGAAACTATGTAGAGGTTTAAGAAATAAAGTTTTGAAACAAAAACAGGAGAATGAGGAAAAAACCATAAAAACCACCTGGAAAATAAATACTGGAAGAATAATGAAATGCTCCCAGTCATCAAAAGGTATCGAAAAGGAAGTAAACAAAAACAGTGACATACTGGGAGGAGATCTTTGTAACACATGGTCCATACAGGACTAGAACCTAGATCTGGAAAACAGTGTCTGTGGAACACTAAGCCCACCAGAAAAATGGGCAAATGACTTAAATAAGCACTTAAGAAAAGGAAACATGGTGAGTAAACAAGCAAAGATACCCAATCTCAACAGTATCCAGGGGAAGGGAGATTAAAGCTCCAGTGAGTAACATCCACTTGAGGGAAAAGAAAGTGCAGACTGATAGCTTCAGATTTTAGAAAGATGTGTTGTAATGGAAATTTCACATACCACTGGTGGAAATGTAATTTGGTTCAGGTGTTTGAGAAAGTTTAACACTACCTAGTAATGTAGGACAGGCACAGAGACTGTGATTTAGTAAACCCACTAGTAGGTACATACGCTTAGGGAATCTGCTTTGCAAAGGTACACCACAATTCATATTTTTTAAGGTAACATTGTACATAAGAGCAAAAAGCTGGAAACCACCCATATGTTACCAGCAATAGAATGGATAACTAAATTGTGAAATATTTATGACAACAGAATAACTGAAAACAGTGAATGTTAAAAATGTCATGTTTATGTCTCCCCAAAACTCATGTGTTGAAGCCTAATCCCCAATGCGATAACTTTAGGAGGGGGAGGACCTTTGGAAGTCATTAAGTCATGAAGGTAAAGCCCTTATAAGAAGTGACACATGACAGAGCTTGCTTCCCCTCTCTATGCTCTCTGTCATGTGCAGATGTAGTGTGAAGGCAGCTGTCCATGAAGCAGGAGGTGGGCCCTCACCAGGAAGCCAACCATGCTGCCTCTCATCTCAGACTTCCAGCCTCCAAGGAACTATGAGAAATAGATGTCTGATGTTAGAGCTACCAAGTCTATGGTGTTCTGTGATAGCAACCTGAACCAACAGAGAACATTAGCTAAAGCTATGTAAAATAATCAGAATGAATAAGTAATTTAAGCAAAGTCACACACAAAAATGTATATAGTAAGAGTCCGTTTAAATCGAGTTTAAAAACAGACTAAAACTAAATGTATTGTTTAGAGATTCCTTTATGGATGGCAGTACTGTAAGTAAAAGCGAGGAAAGGGAATTATCACAAATGTGAGAAGAATGGTTCTGTCTTGGGTAAGAGGACATGAATAAGGAGGCTCACACAAAGCACTTCTAATATACAAGCAATGTTCTGTTTCTAAATCTGGGTTCTAGTGCCTGAGTGTTTGCTTTCCTTATTATTTGTTCATCTTTATAATCACGAACTATAAAGAGAAGCAGTATGGCATAATGGTTAAGACAACAACTTTGGAACCAGGCTACCTGGCTCCACTTAGCTGTGTGACCTTGGGAAGGTTACGTTAACCTGTCTGTGTTCCTGTTTGCTCAGCTGTTAAATGGCACCTAGTGTATAGTGTTGATGTAAGAAAAAAAATTAGTACTTATAAAGGCCTCTTCTATGTAGATTTTTGCTAAATAGTACATGTATTTTACATATTCTTTTGTCTATAAGACATTTCTTAAAATGAGAACAACAAAATATTTGCAATTTTGGAAAATACTAGTAATTTTAAGTTGAAACATCACTATGTACTAAAGAAAACTTAATAGACTCCATATATCTTCATGGAATTTGGAGATCTAATTTAAAAGTTAATTCTGGAGATTTGCTGCAGGAAAAGAAAAATAGATTACCAACAATTTATTTTTAAGCCAACTGAAGTGATTGCTCCAGAAAGACAGTGAAGCCATGTCTTCAAGGGACTGAGGAAAGACCAATGTGATTCAAGAATTGCACATGGCCAGTACTCCATACATGTTGTAGAGAAAACCAAAACACATTCTTAAATATGAAAGATTTAGTAATTGTAGTACACTGAAGCCATTCCTGAACTACTGCTTAGATATTTGATTTGAACAAAGGATTTATCCAGGAGTTCCAGAATGTCACTATTAGGATGCTACTAATATAGTAATATAATATGTTATATTACATAATATATATAAAACATCATATAACATTATATACTATATTAATATTATATATTATACTATATTATACACAAAATATAATATATATTGTATAATATATTAATTATATGAATATATTGATAACATATATATAATAATATATTAGTAGGACATGAGGGATGCTTCAAAAGTATTTGATAATATCCAACGTTGGATCCTGATTCAAAAACAAAAGTATAAGCAATGTATCAAATACACATAAAACACCAGAATTCACACTAACAACAGAATCAAGGAACAGATGCTTACTATTTAATAGTGTTCCCAAAGTGTGACCAGCACATTAGACAACTTAGAGGAGAGGAAATTTTACTTTTCTCAGATCACATGACTGTCTCCCTGGAAAACATAAAATCGTTAGGGTAACTGTACTCCGAATTAGTGAAGTGTTGAGGGGTTGGGAGTAGAGCACTAAAGATCAAAAACTGTAGCTCTTCTAGGACTGGATGAGGTTTCAGATGCTTGCTGTTTTGCTGTCTCATTAAACAAGCACCCTGTTAACATGCACAGCAATATGCTAGGTCATTGATTGTTAGCTGTTATCATTACCATGATTATTTTGTGTTAAAAAAATATATAGCCCTCTCTTCCTTTTTTCCTAAACAGGACTTTGGAGTGATAGCTCATTCTCCTTATTGTCTTAGGATGTCTAGTTATAGGATTTATATAATCTTGGTACTCATCAGGACATGAACAAGAGCCCCCCAGGACCGAGGCATCTGGGAGAACACAGATCCTTCAGTCTTTATGGCTGACACTGGTCATAGAGGAGGCCAAGAGCCTCTACTGTACCCACTGTACCTGCCCCAAGAGAACTGGGGCAGGTACAGCCCTCGGGCAGCAGGTCCTGCTCTTCCTACGGCAAGTTTTTATTTCTTTTTGTCTTTCTTCAATCCCCTGTGTAGCTGGTAAGTTACTCCTTCCACTCCACTAGATAACTTCAGTATTCACCTGACTGGACTTCATACTTAACACTCTCGCTACTCACTGTACAGTGCATTCTCCATCTAGCAGCCAGACTGACCCTCTGAACATGAATTATCTCTTCAAGAATCACTGTTGACGCAGGTGCTGATTAGAGTGCTAACGATGAACAAAACACATTTCTGGCCTAAGGAACTTATATTTCCATGAGAGGAAGAAAGGCAACCAACATAATAAATAAGTAAAATACTTAAAATTTAAGTGGCATGCCTTATGGAAAAAAATAAAAGCAGTAAGATGGAAGCAGGGAGCATGATGGGTGAGGGGAATGGTTTGTAATTTCACAGAGAGTCTTCAGGAAAGACCACAATGAAAAGATGATATTGAAGGCAAGACTTTAGAGGCTAAGGACAGAGTCACAGGACTATCACAGGGAGAGCAACCCACACAGAAAGAACCACCAATGCAGAGGCCCCAAGGCAGGTTTGGGTTTGCGCTGTGTAAGGATCAATGCACTTTGGATACCTCTACATTTATTATGGTCTTTCAGATTAGTTTTCCTACTGATGGAGGCAAAGACAGGGCTGTAGTAAACATGAAGGAGGCTCAGCTTAGCAGAAGGGACTCTGTAAATAGGGACTCTGTAACTCTGTAACAGTATATAAATCCTGTGTGTTTGTATACATATATGTTAATGTACACATGCACACACACACACAGACATAGAAACACACACAAGATTGTCACCCAGTACATTTCTGAGAATGATACAAAGTCATGTATAAAACACAAATAATAGGTTTCTACATTTAGGGGTAATAAAGGGTGGCTTCCTGGAGGGCTTAAAATGTTACAGGATCCCTAACTGTATCTTATTTCATAGACATGATCTTTGGTAATAGATTTTAAGACTTTGCACATGTTCTTGTTTGTTTCCTTCATGACTGTACTTCACAACTGATTTAAGTCTAATGACCACTGATTAGAGGCTAAAACCTCACTGCTTTCCACATTGCTAGTAATTCCCATCTTTGTCTCAACATTAACAAGTTTACTAGTGATAATGCTGTCTCTAACAGAACTTCTATCTGCACATTTTCTACTTAGCTTTTATCAAATATAGGCAATATCTAATAAAAGCATTCAAGACCTATACACATGAAAACCTTCGTACAGAAAAAGAAAACAATTATCTGGGGTGCCTGGGTGGCTCAGTTGGTTGACCATCTGACTCTTGATTTGGGCTCAGGTCATGATCTCAGGGTCGTGGGATTGAGCACCATGTCAGGCTCTGGTGCCGAGCATGGATTCTTTCTCTCTCCCTCTGCACCTCCCCACCACCCCCACCAAACTCACTATCTTTCTCTAAAAAAAAAAGTAAAGAAAACAATCATCTAAAAGAAAAATTGGGCCAGGATACTAAGGTTCTATTTGTCACAGCAAGGCAGGGAAAGAAAGTTACAACTTTTTTGTTTCAGAATTAGCATTAAACTTGAAGGCAAAAACAAAACAAAACCAGAAACCTGTGTTCAACTTCCAGCATGTCATTCCCTCTCTGAACCGGTCTAAGAGTGGGGGCTGCAGTACCTACCCCTTTAGGTGGTTACAAAGAGTGAGTCATGATGGCTGGACAAGAGCCGAGCACAGCACTTAGTCCTCCACGCTTTTCTGTCTTGGTTTTGAACAGAAGGCTAAAAGGTAGCTTTATCTGGCAATAACATCGAAACCTGGAAAAAACAAGACCCAGAGTTAGCACACCACCAATTTCCTGGGCTTCATCCTCTGGCTCCACTTTTCTGGGGCTTTGGTTTCTCCTCTCTGCTCCTGTAAATACGCTTGAGTCGTTTTGCTGGTAAACAAACCAGAGGTACCCGACCTCCATCTTGTCTCAGCTCTTGCCCTTTCTTCCTTGCCCTCTGAAGTGAACCCTGTTGAAACAACTAGTCTGTAATGTCTTTACTTGTTTGCTTCTTTACTCATCTACCTATAGCCCATTTCCCTCTGCAACAAGAGTGCCCTTCCCCACGCCACATCCTTAGAGTCCTTCTGGCTAAGGCCAACAGCACCCTCCAGTTCTTGGTTGGCAGGTTTACTCTCCCACTTCTTCTCTCTTCCCTTGGCTTTCCCTACATTCTCTCCTCCTTTGATGACTCTTTCACTGGGGTATGACCCTTCACTGGGGCATTTTTGGCCCCAAATCAATCTTACTGTCCTTTAAGGTTCCATCCTTGCTGCTTTGCCTTTCTCATTCCCTCATCCTGATAATTAATAATACTCATGATACAAATGTCACAGATAGGATTATAACTTTCAAACCTGTATTTTCATCTAATTTCTAAAAATTCTCCTTGATGTCATTCAATATTCACTTAACAAACATATATTAAACCTACTCTGGCAGGCAACATGCCAGGCAGGGGATATAAAGCAAAGTTAGCTCAATAATGACAATTCAGTGAGCCTGCATACTAGTGGCTAGACAGACATTCAGAGAGACAAGGCAAAATATAATGTGAGATGCAAGCATAAACAAATGAAGAGTCTTTAGATTTAGCCCAACAGAGTAGCCTGAACAGTAAAGAAGAGAGAGGAAAACCCAGGATCAAGAATACATGCATTTGCCTCTGCTGCCTCCAGAAAACCCAATAAAAATGACATTGGGATAATGAAAAAGGCATATATAAACCTACTAAAGTAATCTGGAGAACAAGGGAAAAAATGCTGCAAACATATACCAAAAAACGAAGCAAACAGAAAACAACAACAACAAAAAGCAACTTAAATATTCTCATACAGACAAATGCATGCATTAAAAATATTGCTGTTAAGAAAGAAGGAACACTCAGGATGAGAAGGTGGCTCATAGAAATTTAAAGATATAATAGAAATAATTTTTTTTTTTTTTCCAGAAAAGGACTGAAAGACTAACTTTAAGGAAATCTTTACATCTCCTGGCATTCTTCCCATCAAACAAGACCATATAGGATGCACCTGCTGCTCCCTGGACTCAGAATGGTTTCCTACATGGCCCATCACTTTGTGAGTTACCTGTTCAACATACACCTTCAAAAAGAGGCCCTCTCTGATCACTCCTTCTAAAATAAAGCTTCTGTCAACTGATCTAGTTCCCTTATGCTCCTTGCTTTTTCCACATAGCACTAGGACTCTACACTGTTCATTCCCTTCCTTTCCTTTCCCTTCTCCTTCCATGCTTGCTTTCTTTATTAACTTATTGTCTCCCCCAGTAGACTATAAGCTGCATGGGGAAGCTGCCTGTCTTGTTTAGTGCTATAGCCACAGTGCTAGGAACAGGGCCTAGTGCTCACAAAATGTTTGTTGAATAAAAAGATTATTTATATCAGATTAAATACAAATAGCAGTAGTCATCAAATCACAGAATCTATAGTAAAGGCAATTAAAGCTACCTTCAGGATCTTTTTATATCTAATAAATTAGCACTGAAAGGCATAAAATATCCAAAGTTGTGCAATGTGTAGCAGGAGTCATAATACATCTTTTGACCCAGTGATTCTTGTAAAATCCTATTCTTTATTTTTTTTTTTTTAAGATTGATTTTATTTATTTGACAGAGAGAGAGATCACAAGTGGGCAGAGAGGTAGGCAGAGAGAGGGCGGGAAGCAGGCTCCCTGCTGAGCAGAGAGCCCGATGCGGGGCTGGATCCCAGGACCCTGAGATGACCTGAGCCGAAGGCAGAGGCTCAACCCACTGAGCCACCCAGGTGCCCCAAATCTTATTCTTTAGAAAGATTACTGGAAACTGGCATTCATAAGATTCTTTGTTTTTTTTTTTTCCTATCAGTATGTTCTTTTACTGATTTATTTTATTGCTTTATACTTAGGTAGCCATATACTATTCAGAGATTTAAAAAATATGTGCCTTTCCCTTTAATTTAAAAAAAAAAAGTACAAGAAGAAATGCTTTCATATTGAGTAGAGAAAAAAAGACTGTAAATTTTTTTTTTTCCCCAGAAGAAAGTCAGTGATAACCTCTAACAGAAATTTCATTTGTGAGGGGGATTAGAAACCAGTTAACAAAGACTAAAAAAGACATTAAATGTTTAGAGGAGAATAGAATCCAGATTGACACCTGAGGAATGAGAAAGGGAATGTATAGAACTAGTGAAAATAGAAAAGCTAACGTCATCTTCATTTGTTTTCAAATGAAGACTAAAACACATGTACAAGTTTGCAACTCAGGGAGAAAAAACCCAGTTTCCTTTAAGACAGCTGACAAACATTTAAATGAATGAAGCCATGGATACAGATTATGGCTGAGAAGAAAGACTCATGAAACAGAGGAAAGAGAATATAAAGCGGAAGAAGATAGACAGGAATTCAAACTATAGATAAAGACAGAAAAGCAATAATAATTGGTACATTTACTGATGTTCACAGCAATAAAAAGTGCGTAAATGTAGTAGTCATTTGATCCTCCTACGCTCTTATTTCCCTCCATGGTGAGGGTTTTTGCGAGACGGATGAAGGATGAGTGACATGAGTAATGCAGAGACCTTTGAGGGAATAAACGGCAGGCAGGGTTGCAGTCACTCCACAAGACCGAGGGAGCTCTGTGGGGATTTCCGTGGGTACACATTCATGTAACAAGTCCCTGAAACCTGATGTGTACCTGGAGAGAGGCACTCTCTAAGTCCATTTGTCATCCAGCTCAGTTCTGTGAGTTCCAGCTGAGAAATCACATTTGGTTTGGAAAGCTGATGCGCTGCTCTGGGGGAGAGACACTAAATTTCGGTTCTGAACTGAGTATAATAACCACTCCTAGTACCTGTCCTTGTCCCTTCCCCATCAGGCCTTCTGAAGATTCCATTTTCCATTCCATGTCCAGAGAGGACACCAAGCAACCATCCTAAAACAATGACCTATCAATGAGGATTGCAAGTGCAAATTCCTGAATTTGGTTGTACAAGGTGGCAATAGGTGGGGAAAAATGTCAGTAGGGAGGTTTTGAATTAGAACAAGAGGTCTTACCCAGTGAAACCAAGTCACTGTAGTTCTGTACCATCACTGTCCCATACAAGTTCCTCTGAGCAGAATCCAGACAAATCCACTCCTCCCAAGTGCAATCCAGAGACACATCCCTGATGGTCACCGACTCCTGAAACTATAAAATTCCTGCTCAGAGGATTATGCTAATAAAACCCCCTGAGGGAAGTGGGGGGGGAAAATCAGTGTTAGAAGGGACAGGATAGAGATCTGTGTGAGAAAAAAGTCTTATCTGACAAAAGAAACTAAACAAAAAATGTACATTATCATGAAATAATCAGAGAAAAATGTAATATAAAGTGCTTTGGGGTGCCAGGGTAGCTCAGTCGGTTAAGCATCTGACTCTTGATTTTGGCTCAGGTTGTAATCTCAGGGTCCTGGGATCGAGCCCCATGTTGGGCATGGAGCCTGCTTAAGAATTTCTCTTTCCCTCTCCCCTCACCCCATCGTATGCGCTCTCTCAAATAGTTAAATAAAATGAGTAATAAAAAGAATGTGCTTTGACTTGTAAGGATCGGAAGAGGAGGTATTAGAAAGTAATAGGGAAAGGTACTGAAGGCTGCCCTAGATTACCACTGACAAAGAGTAGGTAGTGTTCTAATGGCCTCCCATTTACCCTGTTGGTGAAGGAGGGATCCCGCACCTTACAGAGCACAAGATGACTGAACACATGACACCCAGCACCAGGCAGAACGGCTGACAGCAATTTACCAGTCACATGTTCTCATAGCCTGGGGAAGGAGGAACTACCTCCCCATGCAGGGCCACTCAGGGAGTGTACTTTTGAACCAGCAGGGGCTGTGGGAGGCAGGCCTTTTAGTGACAAGAGAGCAAGGTGACCCTTGGTTACCATAAGAAGATGCAGTCGGCTTGTCTGAACAATTTCATGGGCTGGTAGGGAGGCAAAACCTATTAAGGTTGAGGACTGGGAGGGGTTCACCGGTCTGGCTGATAGGGCAGTTAGCTAGATAGGGTGCTTTCCCTGCTGGGCTGGGGCAGGAAGACCCAGGGGAACTCATAGCCAGCTCTTTGGAGCCCCATGAGGCTCAGTGATGTCCAGGCAGCAAATGGAATTTCAGGCTTTATAATATAGGCAGAATCCCAGTTAATGGAGGGAGAGCATGTACAAACAGGGTACCTGCAGAATATGGTTGAGAAGTCCGAGAACACACCCAGCTTGACCTGAAAGTGGCATTTCAAATTTCTAAGCCCATTTCAGCCCTGTTCTCTAGCCCTCCAGACTGCAGAAGGTAGATCCTGGGGACTCTTCAGCTTATGGGTTCTGTTTCTTGAAGAAGCCTGGTACAAGGAGGGAGCACTAATTGAGTACTCACTGTTTTACTGGGTTTTGCACTAACAGGAGAGACACATCTCTCCCCATTACCCCATATGACAACCTGCTAGATGGCTAGCACTAAAGTCATCATTTTACAGATGAAGAATCCGAGGATCAGAATGGCTAAATAATTTCTCCACGATCACACAGCTGGGACTCAAACCCAAGGCCATCTCTCTCCTCGTGTTGTTAGAGTAAAGGCCAACCCTCATCAGAGCGAGAGAGAGAGAGAGAGAGAGAGTGTGTGGTGGGAGGGGCGGTGGATATGGAAAGAAGTAAGGACAAGGAAATGGGGATAAAGCCACTGAGGAGGCTTTCATTTAAGGACAAAGAGTGCTGTGCTATGTAAGTGGGCAAAGGGGAGAAAAGTAGTGGAGAGAAAAGGCCTGGATACCAGAGATGGGATGAAGCCCACCCTAAGGAACATGTGTATTTTACATCCTGCTTGCTGTGAACTTCTAGGAAAAGTGTCAGCACTGAGGCAGAGTTCATTCTCTTTCTACCTTATTATTTCCTCCTAATATTTATTTAATCATATATCAACATAATGTTAAAAATCACAAATATTGTCAAAAAATGTGAAGGTAGCTTCTAGAAGGACATAATTATGTGGCTGAATTTCCATTTTATGAAAGGAAAAAAAGGGACCAAGAAAAATCATCAGTTTAACAAATATAAAGAAAGGAAACAAAAAAGCATAATAAACATAAATCATTAAATAATCAGAAAAAAGACGTGATATGTATGTAACAACATACGTGAATGAGTTGACTTTCTCTATTAAAAGACAAAAACTCTAAAATTGGCTTCAAATTTAACACATACAAGAGATATACCTAAACCACGTACCAGAAAGTTAAAGTGTGTAGTGTGTGGGGTGAGGGGTGGCAGGGTAGAGACAAGATACAGCAGGCCAGTGTAAATAAAAAACAAGGAGAAAAAAAAGAAACTAGGAGGAGAACATATGAATTGAATGTATGTGGGAACAGGAAAAAAGGTAACAGAAATAGGATATTCTCTTTCCAAAAATTAAGTCACTTTTTTTTCCTCAATAAATTGACTTGTTAGCTGAATATATTGGGCAAAATTAAAAGCCCAGATTCAGACTCCTGTGGGCTATATGCCAGTATTCCCACTTCTGGATTCTCATCAGCTTCAGTGCAGAGCTCCCAGAGCTTACTGTCCCAGAGCTTGTCTCTATTATAAAACATCCTGTGGACCCCTGAGTTATTTATAAGGGCTCCTAAAGACCAAAACTTAATGATATTGTTCACAAAACGTATTTGTTGTTAATCCCTTCAGAGGTTTTTCCCTTTTGCCTTTCCACTTAGTATGGTCTTTTCTCCCCAATGCTACATTAAAACCACAGGTTAACTCATGGTGTTTGAAATAAACAGCTTCATGGGTTTGTCTCTTTCGTGCAGATGTTTTCGTAAACCTAAAGACGCAGGTTTTTTGATATTGTTATCCTTTGAAAGACTGAGAACCAAATGGAATAAGTGGGGATATTTTAAGTGATCAAAGCATAATTTATAAAGAAGGTATGACAGTGATGAAGTTTGAGGCCACCACAGCAACACAATGTCTTTCTTCAGATATAATTCTTAGCAACCCAATTTTTATTTTTTTAAGATTTATTGAGAGAGAATGCATGCACGGGCTTGTGAGTTGGGGTGGGGGTACACAGGCAGAGGGAGAGAATCTCAAGCAGACTCCCTGCTGAGCACAGAGCCCAACATGGGGCTTGATCCTAGGACCTTGAGATCATGACCTGAGCCAAAACCAAGAGTCAGATGCTTAACTGACTGAATCACCCAGGTGCCCCAGCAATCCAGTATGTGTTTTTGTTTTTGTTTTTGTTTTTTTTAAATCTCAATCGTGTTTAAATCACAGTCACAATAGCAACAAAAAACCAAAATACCTCAGAATACACTTAACAGGGATATGCAAGATCCTTGTGATCAAACTTAACAAAAGCCATTATGAATGATCTGAATAAAATGAAGGGTAGTTTTTTAATAGGAAGAATAAACATTGTAAGAGATGCCAGTCTTCCTCAAATTGATATAGATTTAATGGAATTCAAATCAGAATTGCATACTTTTTAACTGTTACTGTTAAAACTTGATAAAAAGTAATAAAATTTGACTATAAGGGTGACTGTAAAAGAACCGTACTGTAATGCAAAATTCTGGAAAGAAAACCAAGGGAGAATTTGCTTTATGAAATAGCAAAATAAATTCTAAAACAACAAATAAAATAGTGTGGTACTATAGCAGAGATAGAGCAATTGAACGGAATCTAGAAAAACTTACGTAACGTATATATAAACATAGCATACATTAAAGGAAGCATTTCCAATCTATGGAAAGAAGCAGATTATTCAGATTACACCAGTTGGAATGCCATCTCTTCCAGAGTGCCACTCCGGCTCTGCCCAGCTAAAACAGACATCACACTCCACCATGCCGCCCTGCTATGTGACCTTCACAGCACCTAACAATGTCCTCAGTAATTATTTCTTCTCTGCTGCCTCCCCTTTCTGTAAGACAGGACCTAGGAGAAAGGGACGGAGCCTGTCTCACTCACCACCATTTTCCCAGCGTCTAGAATACTGCCCAACACGTGGCAGGCAGGTGCTCAGTCCCTGTTGAGTGAACGGATGAACGACAACATACTACACCATATTGTTAAGTGAAGTTAGATTCCAACCTCACGCTAATATATGATAAATTCCAGATAGCTCAAGGATGTCAGTTTAAAAGAATAAAATTAATAGAAAACGTAGAAAAATGTTTATATACTCTTAGGGTACAGAAAGCCTTTCATAGCACGATTCCAAAGCCAAATAAAGGGAAAAGGAAAGGGAACTGCATAAAACTCCAAAACTTACTTATAGCAGAAGATGTTATAAACACATTTAAGAGAAATGACAGGGAATAAATAATAATGATTTATGGCAAAGGATTAATGTCCACACTGCATAAAAGCCTTCTTTTATATATAAGCCACCCAGTATAAAACTGGGCAAGTATGTAAACAGGTATTTAAAAGGCCCGAAGAATGTGTGCCTGTGCTTGTTTTTGACAGTTTGAGACCTGCAACTATATATTTTAGTCTTAAAAATTTTTTTTACAACTACACAGCTAGTATGTATATTCATAAAAAGAAGATGTAGTTTAAAGGCAAATACAAGTCCTGTTTGGGCGATTCATAGTCCCATGACCAGCCTGAAAAGGAAAGATGGAAAAAGGAGAACAGCTCCAGTGCTTCACTGATACATCCCAGGTCCAAGTGTCAAGGTCATCCAAGACGAAGACTGAGGAGCTGTTCCAGGTGAAGGGAGGCTAAGGAGATGTGACAGCTGAATGCCAGCTGTGATCTGGATTAGGTCCTGGACCAGATAAAGACCCAATTTGTGGCAAAATTTGTGTAAGGTTTGTAGGTTAGCTAACAGTACTGTGTCCACATAAGTATCCTCATTTGGTAATTATATTTTGATGATGTAAAATGAGAGCGTGTTTTTAGGAAATCAAACCAGTGTATTCAGAAATCAAACCAGTGATTGCCTGAGGCAGGGGATGTGGACTGGAAGGGGTGACAACATTTTCTGGGGTAAGGAAACTGTTAATGTAGCTTGACTGGGGTAATGACTATCTTGGATAATAAATTTGTCAAAACTCAATGAATAATATGCTTAAAATGGGTTATCTTACATAAAATTGCACCTGGGGGTGCCTGGGTGGCTCAGTGGGTTAAAGCCTCTGCCTTCGGCCCCGGTCATGATTCCAGGGTCCTGGGATCGAGCCCCACATCGGGCTCTCTGCTTAGCAGGGAGCCTGCTTCCTCCTCTCTCTCTCTCTGCCTGCCTGTCTGTCTACCTGTGATCTCTGTCTGTCAAATAAATAAATAAAATCTTTTAAAAAATAAAATAAAATTACACCTGGGAAAAAAATCTGATTTAAAAACTTAATTAACACTATTTTATTTATTTTATTTATTTTTTTTTTTAAGATTTTATTTATTTATGAGAGAGAGAGAGAGAGCGAGCACAGGCAGACAGAATGGCAGGCAGAGGCAGAGGGAGAAGCAGGCTCCCTGCAGAGCAAGGAGCCCGATGTGGGACTCGATCCCAGGACGCTGGGATCATGACCTGAGCCGAAGGCAGCTGCTTAACCAACTGAGCCACCCAGGCGTCCCAATTAACACTATTTTAACTAAATAAAATAAAACCAAGGCTCCTGACAGCCAACCACAACCTTCATCAACCAAAATCTTCTGAATGCTCCCCCTTTAAACCTTCTTTTCTGGAAACTCCCTCTTTCTTCTGCCTGTTTTTGTGAGTTATGATGCCTTTTATAACTGAGCTTGGTAATACTAAGGAGAGAGAGTAGGACAAACATAAATCACAACAGTTAGTACTTGTCTTCTTGAAGCCCTTTTTAAACTTGTTCTTTTGATAAATAAACAAGTGACATATCTGAGAGAACGCTAATACATGATCTTATGAATAGAGAAAAACACTGTGAGTCCCGTGGGATAGGAAACAAAGTTAAGTAAGCCTAACCATAAGAAACAAAACAAAACTTAGCGTCTCCTGGGGCCAAGTCCCCCTGATATCTTCTTTTTCCAGAGCAGCAACAACAACTCCAGGTTCTAATAAAACTAGCAAATTCCATTTTCTTTTTTTTTTATATATTTTATATATTTATTTGTTTGTATATTTGAGAGATATGACCTCTCTTATGTTCCCTGAGAGTCCATAAACCCGATAAGCACCCAGACTATCTTTCATATGATTTTTATTCCTTCAATGATGCTTGAATGGCACCAAAAGCTCGGTAGGCCAGGGCTTCCAGCTGAACAAGGAAGTGGGCTACTGAGGACAGAGCTGAGGTACACTAAGTGGAGCTTTATGGGAAATATCCAACATTCTGAAATCGCAGTAGCCTCATCCTCTGCAGTGAAGCCCACATATGGTACAGGTATAAGTGCTAAGGAGTAAGAGAGAGGGTTTAGAGAGAAACATGCACTCACCTTAGCTGCCAGGGACAGAGGCCCAATAGCCATCGCCTTCTCTTTCCTTCCTGTGCCGTCCTTTCCTTCTAGGGGATGGGCAGGATCCAGAGGAAGCAGAGCTGAGGGAAGGAAAGGAAGCTATGAGAAATGAGATGCCTGCAAGAACAACAAATAAAATGCCTACAGATCAACCAAATAAGAAATGTATGGTACCTTCTTAAGGAAATGATATTTTTTATTCATGAAGTTTATTTTGCTAAGCTTATCTAGATATATAAAGGATGAACAGAGAAACATACCATCTTCCTGGATAGGCTGTCACAATATCTAAGTTGTCACTTCTTTGAAATTAATTTATAAACTTCGCACATTCCTAACCAAGTTATACTTAAGTAATAGTATTTTAAGGATAATTATGGAAAAGATCTTTTTTAAAGTTAAGTGCGTCCTTTAAGGACAGTCAGGAAATATTTGAAAAGGAAGAGAGATGAGGGAGAACCTGCCCACCAGGTATCAGATAGCTATAATAATTAGAACACACTGTGATGGAACAGGCTGAGTCATTCATGCACCAGATACAATGTTGACCACCTACTGTGTACCAGGCAAGATTCCTAGGGGAAAGGATAAATACAGCCATAAAACAGATAAACAAGTTCTCTTCATGCCATCATGGATTATAGTCTAGCAGAGAAAAGGATCAGTAGAACAAATTAAAATCCTGCCAACACAAACAATTCAGAGAACATTTTGTATGTAAGAATTCAGGGTATGAAAAAGTAACCTCTCATCAGTGAAAAAAGAATGAATTAGTAACTTGGAACAAGGGCTTACCATTTGGAAAAGAATAAAAATTTGCACATTAAATCAAATTAAAGTACTAGAAGAAACTGCAGATGAACATTTTTGTGATAATGTGATAGACGGCCCCCTAACAATGATGCCAGAGACGCAAACATGAAGGGATGATTTTCATGCCTAACCATGAGAAAATGTAACATTTCTACCTAGTAAGAAAAAACTGTATCAGATACAGAATTTAAAAACAAAACTCAACATTTCATAAAATATTCATTAGTGTTCAAAACACACATTTAAACAACCCTTTTGCCTGCACCTCTCAGAAAGTTGGAGAACAGGAACACCCAGACTTGGAGTGGGTCCATCAGACATCCTTATCTTGCAAATGCTTATAAACTACTACTGTTCTGGAGAGAGTAAAGTGGGAGGGTATCAAAAGTCTTACAGTATGATCCAGAAATTTTCATATGAAGAGATTTAAAGAATAAGACAGGAATGCAAAGATGTATGTAGCTGGATGGCCTATATGGTTTATAACATGAGGGGGGAAAAAACCTGAGAAAAAATGTAAAGGCCTAAAGGAAGGATTGAATATGACGCACTTTTTTTTTTTTCACGCTCTTTAAAATGACACTTGTTTTTAAAAATTGATATAACTCTATGTTTTCAAAATATTAATTTTTTTAAAAAAGTTTATTCTCTACCTGATTCAAGTGGTACTTACACAGATAAAAACATTTGTAAAAAATCATGGAGCTCAATATTTGTGCACTTTAAACCCCTTCCAAATGTCTGTCAAAGCTCGGTTTTAAATGTAAATAGAGAGGACACTAATGTCCACATCTTTGTGTAGAAACAAAGCCTTTCTATGTTTATATGCCGACATGCAGATTTTGACAGTTTTCAAATATTTTTTTATTTGAAATGATCCTCTGAATTTTCTAGTTTTCCTATAGTGAACTTATCCTTTTGGGGGGGCTGGGGGAGACGGAGAAAAAATGGCTTTAAAAAAATAAAACGATTCCCTGAAATAGAAACCTGCACGGGGTCGGCCTGCCCATTCTTAGATGGGTCAAGGGGGGTCCACGCCAGCGCCTCTCGGAATCAGAGACCGCAGATGGCGCGTCCGCGAGATGAGGCGGACACAAAGGGCGGGTGCTGGAGCCCCAAGACGCGCACCAAGTGCAGCATCCCCCGAGACTTATGAAGTGGGGTCCGGGGAAAGCCCGCGTCGGGGAGGAGCCCAGGGTCTGAGTGACTCCCAGAGCCCTCGGGCCCGGGACCGCCACACCAGGTCCCCCGCCCTCACCGCTCCCGACAGGTGACGGCCCTAATCTCTCGGTGTTCCCACCCAGCCGGGCTCCCGGGGCGAGAGAGGGCGCACCTGGAGCGAGCGGCCCGGCGCCGCGCGGGGACTGAGAGAACGCGGCCCCCAGACCATCCACCGCCAGCCACGCCCCTCAGGGGCCTCGCCCCGCCGTCCGGGCCTTCTCCTGCGTGGGCCTCCTCCTGGCTCCAGTCCCATACGGTACGTCTCACCCCGGCCCCACACTCACCCTCTCCCAGCAGGAGCGGGAGCAACCGGTGCGGACGCAGCCCTGCCCGGCGCGTACGCCCTGGGCGACGGACTACATTTCCCACAAGGCTGCAGGGGCGCGGCGCGGCGCGGCAGTCACTGCGCAGGCGCGAGCGGGAGGGCGGGGGCGATCCCAGCCGTAGGACAGTGGGCGTTTCCAGCATGGCTCCCTCGCGGTAGTGGGGTTTTGTCTTGGGAAGCTGGGAGGGGCCCGGTTCCCCAAAGAAGTCCCTCCTTGTTAGAGCCTGTCGATGCTTAACCCATACGAAGGGGTGAAGGGGTAGAAAGCTTTAACTAGCCTCGTTTTACTCTTGTGAAATGACGAGTCACCTGCAAAGTTGTCGGAAGAAGGTAGTAACGTACCGTATACGTAGTGGGCCCCCCGTGAGTGGTGATTACTATACTCCTTCACCTCCCTCCACCCCCCCACCACTAGCTAGGCGCCCAAGATAGGCACAGTGTAGAATGACGCGAAAAAGTCTAATTGTGTGACCAGAGTTGTTTCATCTGGATCTGTCTCCGGCACTTGGAGAAATACATGACATTTAGGACCTATCAGTATGGTAGCATGGATTGTGAAACTTGGCTTTATCAAGATAAATGCTAATTTTCTCTGCCTCTTTCTATTGCTGTGACAGAGACGTGACCAAACCAGATTCCTCTGAGTCCTCTTTCTACTCGGCCACATAGGGCCCAATACTAGCCTGCAGAGCCCTAGTTTTAGCAAGAGTCCTGCTAAGTCAGTTTAGGTAGAAGCCTCATTCTTGGTATCTGATCAGTTTCCTTTTTCCCTCCTCTTGATGTCTGCATCTTTGGCCTGCCTTTAGCAAGAATCCTATTGAGACAGGTTTGCAAGAATCCCCCAACTTCGCTATCTCCTTTTGATAATTTTCCATCCATTGATCCCTTAATCTGTTACTGTAAATCCCCTGCTCTCTTTGCTGTACTGGGAGTTGAGTTGAGTTTTACTGAAGCTTCTCTCCCCTATTGCAGTAGTGCTGAATAAAATATTTCTTTACTACTTTTAACTAGTACCTTTATTTATTTAACTAACTTTATTTCCTCTTAAGAGCTCTGTGAACTATTGTAAAATATTGAAAACTATGAAAGATTCCACAATTCATTTAATCAAGATAAAGTAACCCAGATAGCACAAAAGTAAGTAAAAATATGTCACTACAGTAAGACAATACCTTGAACCAGTTTCTCCACCACTACAGGTCATTCTTACGTTAGAAACTACATGAGCATATTCATCATAGTTATTCTGATAGAGAAATGGTCCTTGATAAAACTCACAAAATATGGGGGTGCCTGGGTGGCTCAGTGGGATAAAACTCACAAAATAGAACGTGCAGTTTCCAAACAAGTAGGCAGAAGGAATGGGAAAGGGGAAAGGGAGGACAAAAAAAAAAAAAAAGTAAAAACTAAAGTAAAATAAAATATCACATGTGCAATAAACCCAGAAACAAAAATAAAAGGTACATAAGGATATGGTAGCAATAAATCCAGGTCTCTCAGTAATCACTAGATAAGCACATGGACTTAACTTTCCAATTAAAAGAAAAATAATATAAGACTAAATTTTTAGAAACATAGCTTCATGCTAAAACAAGGATACACACATCTTAAAAGTAGAATGTTGGAAAAAGATACACCTGGCAAATATTAACCAAAGAAAATTCATGTGGCTACATTTAGTTAAATAAAAGATAGCATGTTAAGAAAATGTGTTACTAGAAATAGGAAAGATAATTATATAACAATAAAAGTTAACTCACCAGGAAAAATAGTAATAAACTCTTTTATATTTAACAATGTAGCTTCAAAATATATAAAGCAAAAATTGACAGGAGAATTGACAAATCCATTACAGAGGTATTTTTAACCCGTCTTTATCAGTAACTGGTAGGAAAGCTGGCCTCCTCCCCCCAAAATGTCACTGAAGATACGGAATTTCTGAAGAGCAAAGTGAACAACTTTGATTTAATGAATAGACGTATGGAATATTGCATTCAAAAATTAATGAAAACACATTTTTATCACACATTTTTTTAAAAATGACCTCATGCTAGGCTGTAAAGTAGTATTAAACATTTCAAAGAATAGGTATTATAAAAGCCACACAGTTTCACAATGTCAATTAGATATTTTTCTTTAAAGATTTATTTATTTATTGTAGAGAGAGAGCACACAAGCAGGGGAAGGGCAGAAGGAGAGGGAGGGAATCTCAAGCAGGCTCCCAACTCCTCATTGAGCATGCAGAGCCTGATGTGGGGCTCAATCCCATGACCCTGAGATCATGACCTAAATAGAAGTTGAAAGTTGGCAGCTTAACCCACTGAGCCATCCGGGTGCCCCCCATTAGACATTTTTAAAAAGACCAGAAACTTCTTTAAACTTTTTGCTAAAGGGAATATTTAGAGATTGGGCCAGTTATGCTAACAGATTCCTTCTTTTACCATACTCTCATTGGACTCCTCTTGAGTTTTTTCAACTGCCCCTTGTTGCATCAAGTACCTCCTTGGTACTTGGACCCAAGGCTCAAATTATCACCTATGTTTCCTTAACTCAGGGGGACCCCCCACTCTCTGCCTAGATCCTCTCCTCACTCTATCCTGGAAGCTCCGTGGGCTCTGAACTGGGGCAGCCATGGAGCTCCTGTCACTTGATTCCTTCCTCCAGACGCCGTCCTGTACTCCTGTTGTTAGGTTTCATGTAGCTCTTCTGGCCTTTTATCCATCCAGTCCTGGAAATCTGGATCTTGTGCTTTCATCACAGGCAGAAGGGGAAGCTTGGGATTCTTTATTAGATTCTAGCTTACTTCTTAGAACATTAGATTATTATTTTCAATACTGTGATTTCCCATATTTTAATAGATTCACAGGTAAGACATTAATAGATTGCCTCATGTTAAGATATCTTTTATTTTTTTTTAATTAGATGACTCCATTAAAATTAAAATCTTTTTTTTCAACTTGAGTATAGCTGACACAATGTTACATTAGTCTCAGGTGTATAGCATAGTGATTTGATGAGTTTTTACACTTGTTCACCACAAGTGCAGCTACCCTCTGTACCATATAATGCTATTACCTTATCATTGAGTATATTCCTTATGCTGTGCCATTTATTTATTCCTGTGACTTGTCCATTCCATAACTGGAAGACATAATCTTCACTCCCCTTTACTCATTTTGCCCATCTCTCCCCTCCCCTCCCCGTCAGTTTGTTCTCTGTATTTATATTTATAGGTCTGATTCTGCTTTTTGTTTCCTTAGTCATGTGTTTTTGTTTTTGCTCTTTTAGATTCCACATACAAGTGAAATCATATGGTATTTGTCTTTCTCAATCTGACTTAAGGAATCTTTATACACTGTTAGTGGGAACATAAATTCATGGTAGCCACTGTGGAAAACAGTATGGAGGTTCCTCAAAAATTTTAAATAGAAATCCCATATAATCCAATATCTCCACTACTGGGTATTGACCCAAAGAAAACAAAACCACTAATTTGAAAAAATACATGCACCCCTGTGTTTACTGCAGCATTATTTACAAGAGCCAAGATATGGAAAGAGCCCAGGTGTCCATCACTGATAGAAGAATGGATAAGGAAGAGGTGGTATATATACACAATGGATTATTACTCATCCATAAAGCAGGATGAGATCATGCCGTTTTGACAGCATGGATGGACCTAGGGCATTATGCTAATTGAAATATTAAAAACCTTAAGGCAGCAAAGGAAGAAAAAGAAGCCCTGGGGCAAGAGCAGCCTTCTGGCCACAGCAATCTAATAGCCACTTTTCTTTTTCGCTATATTTCCCAACCAGCCTTAGGACCTTCATGAGCCCTAAGTTCCTGTCATGGCCCACAGGGCAGCTCTGTGAATGACAGGAGTGACTCTGGTACTTGGAGCCCTGTCTTTGCCTACACAACCTTGGTGAGTAGAAGGTAAATGAGGCCCCATACAAGGACAGATATCACCTTCCCTAAGACAAAGGGAGAGCCCTTCCAGACCAGGAATTCCTTAGTTTAAATCCTTTTGTTCAGTCAGTTTTCAGATTTTTTTCATTCATGAATTTTAATATTATCCAGACACACAGAAGCTTCCTGACAGGTTTATACATATAGGGATTAGATGTTACTTTGCCCAGTGATGCTGGTTCCTGACCTTCCCATTTAAGGATTTCTCATCTCCTAGCAGCAGACATAAAGGCATGTGTGGACCTTACCAATGTAAAAGGAGTCTCTGAAAACCACCCACATATAAGGTGTGAGTCATGCCAAGGTACATCCACATTTCTCTATCCCTTTCAGGTCAGTTCTTGGAGAGACCAGGGAATCCAGAGTTTCCTACATGACTGGGGAGTCCTTGGAAATGAGTTTCATCTTGAGTCAAGGAAGAAGAATCACATCCTGACAAGGACAGTTGCTTTGTCCCCAAGCCCAGGGCCATAAAGAAGAGCTGGCAAAGTGTCCCCAGATGCTGATAAGTTTGTAGGATTTACATTGGACTGATTATACATGTGGCTAACAAGTGAACCCTGGCCCATATTCATGGAGAAGGCCTACAGCAGACCCTGGGCCAGAACTTGGAGGAACATATCTCCTCAGGTAGGTCTCTTCCATATTTGACTTTATGGCCCTTAAGTGACCTACATGGCTTGGCCCTGCCACCACTCTGTGCCCTGAGCAGGGTGGAGAATTTTGAGACCAGCTTCTGGCCATGGTCCCAGCTGCATGAGACTGGAAAGGACTTAACAGTCTGAGCTTGTCCCTGCCTCTCTTTCTTGGTTGCTCCTCAACAAGTGGAGCCCAAAGCAATGGCGTCATAGGGTTCTGTTGCCAGCCTGTTCAGAGTGACCTTGGCCGCTGTGGAAGGCAAGTGTCAAGGCAGTGATCCAGGGTCAGAGGTCTGGGCCAGCCCTGAAAGTGTCTGTTCCATATAGTTCTTCCCTGTGCATATGGCCTTGTCCCACTTCCCAGGTCCAGCTCCAGGCCTGGCCCGTCTACGTTCCTGAGGGTCAGT